ACCCACCCCCCCACTGGGGGGGGGTGGGAGGGGGGGGATAGGGGGGGTTCAGCATCACAGAGCTCAGTTCTCCCCTTTTTCTCATGCACAGTTCTGTGTCCTTGCAGTGGGTTTGTAGTGGAAATCTGAGCCGTATTTGAAATGTGTTTGACATGAATGGAAAGCATTGTGGAAAAACGGCCTCACCTAAAAGAGAGAGAGACAGAGAGGGAGGAAAAATGAGGATAGGGCAGCAGAAGTCTTATCTGAGGAGAGAGGGATGGAAATGTATTTGTGGGAAGGCGTGCATAGGGTTTTGAAATGGTAAACAACACATTCCCATTTCACCTGGATGCAAATGGTCATATGGATGTCTGTCAACAGAAGGAGCAGAATGAAAGACAGAAAGGGAAAAAGAAGGATGGGCGAAACTGAAAATGAGGAGGGATGCTGGAATTGGAGAAAAATTGCGATGTCAAACATTTATGTCATTCTTGGCTGGTCAAGGACGAAATGAGAAGAGAGTGAGAAAGGAAATGAGAGAGAAGGGGTTTGTGTGTGAGAGAGAGAAAGAGAGAGAATCTGTGGGCAAAGAAGTGTTGTGTGTTTGTGAGAAAGACGAAGGTCTTGAAGAGTTTAGTTCATGTTTATGCGGTTTGTTAGGCGACATACTGCGTTAAAGAGAACTTTGTTAAATGAACCCAAATTGCTTTCTTATTTAGGCCAGAAACACGCTCTACTCAAGTACACAAATGCAGACATTACTTTGGCGGTGATAAACCTCGGTTCTCAAAGAGGGGAGATACAGTTACCTTCAAATGTCTGAGCTATTAGAGCATATACAAAAAAAAAGCAAAAACATGCAAAATAATATTGTTAATCAGTATTTTTGTTTGGCTTTAAAAAATGTAAACATCCTTAAAACAAGACAAATTTAACTGAGAATCACATTACGATATTATTAAAGGGGTCATATGATGCGATTTAAATTTTTCATTTCTCTTTGGAGTGTTACAAGCTCTTGGTGCATAAAGAAGATCTGTAAAGTTGCAAAGACTAAAGTCTCAAATCCAAAGAGATATTCTTTATAAAAGTTAAGTTTTGGCCACACCTACCAAAAACGGCTCGTTCTAACACGCCCCCATGGGAAGATTTGCATAATGCCGCCCAAATGTTCATGCAAAGAAAGAAGGCGTAACTTTTATTCTCGC